AAGAAAAAAAAATACTAACAAAGACTTTAATTTGTATTTTCGTGTATGTATAAAAACTAAAAACCAATATTCAATTTTGTAGTATGTGATTTGAATTGTTGCAAATTGCAATTGAGTGGTCAATTTATACAAGTGTTGCCTCCGTAAAGCTTACCAAGGAAGACTTTTATAACTCGACTTGTTGAGGAGATCGAAATTCTTCAAAATCAACATCATTTCACATTGGAGTGTAAACGCCGTTCTTTATTTTGTAATTAAAGGACCTCTTTGGTAAAATGACTGTTAGCTGTTAGTTGATTGTGTTAATTAGAGGGTATAAATAGTTGATAACATTAGCTGATTGTAGAAAAGTGTTTGGTAATAAATTAGCTGATAATTGGTTGGTATAATTTTTTTTTTTCTCAAAAAACTAATTGAAAAAATTGCTTGGAGTAGCTTTTTGAATTTTAACTTTTTGGAATTGTAAAAAAACTAATTAACCAAACATTTATATTGACATTTTAACTAAATCAAACAATTAATAGTGGTCAAATAAGCTAAAATTGACCTAGGCCAATTTTTTACCAAACAAGGCCAAGTCTTTTAACTTCCAAAACTCCACAATTTTATCATAAAATTATTTGCCCTCTTTTTATTAAGAGTTGATTTTATTTGTAATATTAGATTTACATGTGTCATTTCACTTTTAATCATTTTTTCATAACTTTTCCCATTGGTCATATTATAATTGTAACATAACAATAGTAAAACTAATTATTTTTTCATACATAACTACCCTTATGCTTCATATCCATAATGTTTTTCTTTTTCATTCCAATCTAAAAGGACAATAGTAAAACTAATTAATTTTTCATACAAAATCTTATACTACCTATGTTGTTTATGGCACATGGTGTTATCTTACATATTTTTCAGTAATTTGTAAATTAAGCAATTACAAATCAAATTAGTTAATAATCAAAGTTAATTACATACTTACCTAAGATACATAAAGTGCATACAAAAATAAAAATTAGATGTAAGTTATCCAGAATAAATTTGATTTATCACTCTTTCTCACACTAGAGAGAATGGAGTGCATGGCCCTCATGTTTAATCATTTGTGCCTTAATAATAACATATGTCCAAAATCTTCCCAACCTTACAAATAAGTAGGAACACAATTAATGAGTGAACATATTGCATATATAGCATCTTGTAAAAGTAAAGTAAGCCATTAATTAGTGTAGTCCAAAATAAATTAATAAGTAATAACGTTTTAATTTTTACCAAAAGCTAATAATGGTAAGATTTTAGGAGAAATTCAACCAAGTTAGTCAGACTGTTAGATTGGTAACCACAAAGTTTTAAGTTCGACTCTCATTAGGAGTAGCCTATTAACCTTCTTGAATTGACTCGGTCAGCTATGGACAACTTAGACTAGTTTACCTCCCTATGATCCTTTGTCGGTTAGGGTTAATTACAAGGTGGAGTTTACCTAGTACACACTCTCGAGTAGTAGTTGCAGGTTTCCCTCGTCATCCAAAATAATAATTTTAATAGGAATAGAGAATCCCAATGAAACTTACGAGGTGTTGTAGTTAAGATTTGCTTCCAGCGATAGAGTGAGTTCAATCCCATTATAGACAATTTGGAGTATAGAATTGGGCTTTGGTCTCAATCCTATGCATGCTCGATTTACCTCCTTTTGGGTCTCGAAGCGTGTTCATGGGACTCAGGATAATTAATCCAACGAAATCCATTAATATGAATGCACAATCGGTTGTAATGATAACTTGTAATTGTGTCATATTTAAGTTATTAGCAGTGTTACGTGCAATAACTTATACATTATACTTACGTTCTTATACACGTACTTGTAATTTTTTTTTTCGATTTTACAATTTATTAAGTATGACATATTGATAATTATTTATTTACATATACTTTAACTCTTTTTATATGTATATTTAATTATATAATGCACGATACTGTTAATGACATTGTGGTATAATGGCACCAAATTATTTTTTCAAAAGTGGTATTGCGAGATTAGTAGTTATGAACAGATAAAAGTATAATGCACGGTACACAACTAATTTAAATATGTTATATTTTAATACGAATCGACCATAATTGAGGTCCTAAGCTATTTAAAATACGCTAGTATGGAAATTGAAATTAAAGGAACATCTATACAGACAAGATAATTGAAATGAGAAATCATGAGTGGAGAGACTCTTGATGATCACTTTATTTCGACTATACATATAATAATCATATCTACACACACATATATATGTATCTGCATGTGTATGTATATAATATAAGTTCACTCCATATAAAGTTAATTTGATGGTCCGCCACACATCACATGCTAAAAGGTCTTGATTTCAAAGTGGAGAAGTTTACACCCTTTCATGCATGCATGAACCTAATAAATCATCAATAAAATACACACACATATATAAGAAATGGTTTTGGTGCGATAAATCTCTCAGGTGAAAAATGAGATAAGGTCGTAGTTGTTGGTTTAATCAAAATGAATTGTCCAAAATGAAAGATTTTTTTAAAAAAAAAAAAAAGAAAAAAAAAAAGAGCTTCCTGAAAGTTGAATTATTGTACCAGCGTCACCATAGATTTGATATTGCCTCCATTGCTGAAATACATCCGGCCTATAAGTGACTGGCTACGAATGATTTCCTCCCATCAATTATATTGATCTTCCCGCCAAAATTTTCTCAATCGCTCACTAACAACATCATTCGCATTGTCGTTTTCTTCCTTAACTTCATCTCCTATTGCGAATTCGATCAAACTTGTATTAATATTACATTTTGAAAAAGAAAATGCTAGATGTATTTCCAACGAGTATAATTCTGGAATACATATTTTATTGGATAAAGTCATGCACTTTATGTTTCAAAGTTATGCACTTTAAATTTCAAAATTACGTACCTTAAGTTCCAAAGTTATGCACCTAAGTACCTAAGGCAACTAAGTTATGCACCTTACCGTGCAAAGTCAAACATTTTAAAGTTATGCACCCAACAATCTAAACTTATGCACTTAAGTTCTAAGTTATGCACTTGAAGAAGGAAAATAATGCACCATCTTTTGAGAAGCTAATAAAGTAAATATGCATTCAAAGAGAAAATATGCAAATAATATGCACTCAATGAAGAAACAATATGCACCAGAAGAAAGGTAAAAAATGCACCCAAAAAAAAAAAAAAAAAGAACTTACACAAAATTATTGTCACCGCATTTTCTTCATTCTGAATACTAGATCTAGACGAAATCAATAGAGTTGTCGACTGTCCGGGCCCATCAAAGCCAGCCAAATGGCGAGAGCAAGTTAAAATGCCCACCAAAATACGGGCCTAAAATAGATCAGGCCAATCCGACCATCCAAAATTTGAAAAGTGTTAAATTTAAATAAAAAATGTTATGAAAAAGTTAATAAGTGTATAATAAAATAATTTGAATAGTTTAAACATTATATTAATACATTTATAATTTATTAAACACAATAATAAATAATTAAGTAATAAGTGATAATAAATAATCAAATACATAATAGGTTATAAAAAAAAACAGCAATTGATGGTCCAAAACTAAAGTTTACCCTTCTAGTCTAGGAAATATGAAAGTTGACTTCATAATATGAACTTGTAAAATACTCCAAATAGATGGGCATCATGGGCCCCCCCTTGTAATTTTTCTCTCCACTTCAAGGGCACAGTGTGTAAGAAACTCAATAATTTTGGGTAATTAAAACCAATTAAAATATAAAATATAGGAGGAGATTGCAATGAGCATATATGTGGGGGAGGAGAAGTGAAAATGATGATATTGACTGCCAAAGCCAGACAATACTACACTTGTTACAAGACTTGACTCCTACTCAATCTACCCCTTTTTGCTTCTCTAATCTTCTTCCACTTTTTGTTTTGTTTTGTTTGGCTTTAGTTTTTTACTTTGTCCTCCACAAGACTGACTTCAAGTCTTCAAGAAGTAGACAAGAACTACTTCAAAATTCTTTATCCCCCGGTTAACGCAAGTGCCTCAATTATTAGCGATCATTTAGGTGAAATTTAATATTTGTGATTCTCAATTTATAAATTTTCGAACTTTTTAAAATAATTGTACTACTATGTTTAAAAAGTTGGTGAGGAAAGAAACTTGCTCATGTATATTAGAGCAACTACACCAATGATTTTTTGATTATTTTTGTCAGATTAAAAATTTTAAGATGGTATTTTGACTGATTTTTACTCGACAAAATTAAGTTTTTTATGGGTCCCAAATGAGAGAGAGATGACAGAAGAGTACTCACTTTTTGCATTGGGCGCACATTCAGTGCTCGGCTGTAGGCATCCGCTAGCGTGTCTTCTGCATACGGTTTTTTTAATTTGCGTTAGAACAATCAGACCCTTTTTTATTTTATTTTTTCCTTCTCCTCTTTGTTTCTTCTCTCTTCTTGTTGGCACAAAACAAATTGTGAAAAATTTGAAGCTGATGTTGTTGCTCTAACAGGCTGCCTATAAATAAATAAATAAAAAGAAAAGTAATGATTGGTTTAGTCCATCCATTTGGATAGATCAATTATTGAGAGTGTCAACATGAAGATGAAAAAATGTGAGGTTAGTTTTATAAATATTACAAATTTAAAAATTTACAATAATTATAAAATTGACTTTATATTTGATTGAGACCAACTTTTATAATATAACTAGACTGATCAGTCGAACCAACTGAACTAGTTAATTTAATATCATCTATATAATTTACAAATATTAAAAGGTTGCCCGAAACAAGGTTAATAATTTTATATTATATATATTATTTTATTGCCCCAATCGAGCCCTTCAATATTTAGATATCTCTCCAAAATCATCCTCGGCGATAACAAAATTTCTCCTGCCTATACATACATACACACACTCAAAACAAACAAACACCCCAAACTATCAACAGTGGAAACCACCGAGAAACGAAGAGAGTCGCCGGAGAGAAGAATGGGCCACGGCTACCAACCTCGCCGCCTCTGCCACCACAACATCCACCAGAGAACCACCACTACCACCGCCACCGCCGCCACCTTCTTGCCAACCCTCTGTCGAGTTTCCATCAACGACGTGAAGCTAACACAACACAAAAGCAGCCCCGCCGCCGCCGCCGCCTCCACCGCCACCGCCACCGCTGCTTCCTTCTCCGACGACCCTTCCTCCCCCAGAGTCAGCTGCATAGGCCAAGTCAAGAGAAACAACAAAGTCCTCGGCTTCCCCACTCCCCATCACAACGTCGTCGTCCCCGACCACTCCTACTCCTTCAAGAACCCAAATCTCAAGAGGCTGTTTGCCGGCAAGAGCCTAACCCCGACCACCGTCACCGCCGCCGGATGCCGCCGCGCGAGCAGGAATTGCACCAGAAGATCATCAAGAAAAGTTAACAACAAAGACAGTAATAGTAGCGGCGGGGGAGTGGATATCAATGAGCTTGATCCGCCTTTGCCGGTGGTTAAAAAGGTGCAGCAACCGTGTGGCGGCGGCGGCGAAGCCAGTCTGTGGAAGAGAAGATCCGGCGGGGGAGGTTTGAAAAGTTTGCAGATTCAGTTGGACAAAAGTAATCAACTCATCATCCCCCCAAGCACTGTATAATCAGAGCTTCTCATTTTAGGTACATGTTTTTGTGTACTGATTAATTTGTAAATAATTTCCTTTTTTTTTTTTTTTTCCTGTTTTTGCTGGTTTGACACTTCAAACACCATATTTTGTCCTTTTTTCACCCTTCCATTTTGTTTTAATGGATCAATTTCAATGAAGCAACTCTAATCAAGATGATCAAACGGTTAATTGGTAACCTATAAAAGTTTAAATTTAATTTTGTTAAAATTGTATATTCACCTTTATTGTTTGAGTTGATCATTTATTTGTAAACTTTTGTCCATTAAAAAAAGGCAAGTTTCAGTAAAATTTGACCAAAGCCAATTGTTAAAGTTGGGTCACAAAATCGATTGAAAAATACTCCGTATTGTATAACAAAATCTCATCACGGATTCCCCATTGAGCAAGGTTGTATGACTATTGACTAGCCCGTGTCAGTGTGTCACGTACACTTACCACCATTGAATAAATCTACAATTCTACATATCATATTACTAATCTTATTTTTAAAAGAAGATATGTTCTAAAATGACAATTACTTTTTTTTTTTCCTTTTGTACGTATATTTTTAAAAAAATTGGCATATATTTTGAACAATACTATATGACCTTATAAAAACTATTTCACTTTTCATCACTTTCTGATGTGATACTTTTTAATAAATTACAATTATTTATATTTTGATTAATTACAATTATGAACTTACCAACATAAATATTCATTAATCATCCGAAGTTATTGACTTTCAAAAAAATATATTCATTAATCAAATAGAGTCGCATTATACTTTTTTTTTTTTAGTACTACTGACTCTAAAGTTGCATACTTGCATTATACTTAGAATAAAGTTAAATGCCACAAATGATAACACTTTTTTAAAACGAAAATGTTAATTGCATGTCCCTATATCTACCACTCATAATATAGTTCTTTTTAATGTGGTAAGTTTTAATAATTTTTTTTTTCAATTTCAAATCTCTTCTTATTAAAATTTGCTAAATCAGCGAGTGACAAGTTTTTTAATAGTTGGTTTAGTGACATATAATTATTATCTTTTTTAAAATGTCGAAAATGCATAGTGCTTACTCTTATAATAAAAAATAACATTAACATTTTGTGTTATGTAATTATATAAACATGGACGGAGCCAGTATAGGAACAGGGGGCAATTGTCCCCACACCACTTCACCCCTTATATATAAGGGACCCTTGTATATATATGTATAGTAGATGTTTATATATAACTAACTAAATAATATAGATATATATTACTTAAAGATGAAGTGCTTAGATGGTATATATGTGTAGTAGTAGAGGTTAGGGGGTCAAATTTACCTGGTTGATTAATTGTTTTTCTCCAAATATCTCATTTATTTTAATCTTTCACCTCTACTTGATGAAATTTTTGGCTACGCCCCTGTATATAAAAATAAAAAAAATAAAAAAAGTCTCCCCTCCTTGTTATTTATAATAGTAAGCTCAATGCCTTTTTAAAATTGTAAATTTTTTATGTAAAAGATCTGAAGAAAGAAATATTATTATGGAATAAGGTTCAAATTGGCCACTGAACGTAACAAGAAAATGCAATTAGGCCACTGAACACTTCAAATGTATACAATTTCACCTGATAGCAGGTTAACATCAATTTTAACAGGTTACCTGCTTACGTTATTTATTTTTTTTAATTTTTAAAAAATTTATTATTAAAATTTATTAAAAATTATTTTAAAATGTCAACTCAACTGCCACGTAAGCAGGTAACCTGCTATCCGGTAAAATTGCATACGTTTGGAGTGTTTAGTGGCCTAATTGCACGGTTGTAGAGTGCTCAGTGGCCTAATTACAATTTTTTTTCGTTCAGTGACCTAACTACATTTTCAGGTTACGTTCCATGGCCAATTTGAACCTTATTCCTATTATTATTATTATTGATTATTGATTGTTGATGTAGAGTGTGAATGGATGTGAAGAGAAACGCAAGAAATGTGTATTAATGAGGGAGTGAGTGCATGAATCCATATTAATTAAAGAGAGACATAGAGTATGGGCAATGTCTTTACTTTCAAATTGCAATAAATTTGGTTGTCTGGGCTGCAACACACCATGCGAATCACAACACACCCAAAACATAAAAACACGCTCAATAATCATTTTGCGTGCACGTTTCAATGTCTAAAGGCTAAAATCGGGAAATCGCCGTGCCAATATCTATGTCAAACAATCTTTTTTTTTTTTTTTTTTTCCTGATATGACGTTGCTATTTCAATTTGTTTTTTTTTGTTTTTTTTTTTGTTTTTTTTTTTCACAAAAATATTTCAGATAAAATCGCAAGTTATCTAATCAATCCAATTTGCTTTCAATACGCAAAGAGATTTACACTGTTATTAGAGTAAAACTTTAAGATAATTTATCAAACAAATCAAGTTAGTCATGTAGGGCATGATTCTATCTATAAATACATTTATACCAATCGTTATGCCATGGTACCGTGTTCACCATCTATGGTGAACACGGTCCCAACGGTGTTAGTGCACCGTTATCTTTTTTTTTTTTTTTCGCGTGACTTTTCTTCTTCATTTTCACATTTCGCGATTTCACTTTAATTTGAGGTGAGCAATGATTTCGGACATTCATAAATTATGAATCCATGCATGCACATTCACTTTGGAACCATGCCTACACATTCCCGTCCGAAACCATGGCTGCTCCTCTGTAGCGCAAGCTTCTTCAACATTCATAAATTATGAATTTTCTGTTATGAGATTATGAATTTTCTGTTATGAGATTATGAATTTACAGTAAATTCATAATCTCATAACAGAAAATTCATAATTTAATAAACGTTTGTCTTTTATGCGATTATGAATTTTATGTTATGAGATTATAAATTTACAGTACATTCATAATCTCATAACAGAAAATTCATAATCTGACCAAACGCGCGCCGTTAACACCACATTAGTGATTTTTATTTTTATTTTACGTAAAAACGGCGCCGTTTGGATCCGTGTTCACCATTCATGGTAAACACGTTTCCAGGGCATAATTTGCCCATTTATACCCTATAGGTCAAAAACAAAAAGTTCTATGTTTCCTAATACAAAGGGCCCAATAAAAGTATAATGTTATATTTAATTAAAACTGAACTTCTATGTACTTACAGTGAAGTTCAATATATAACTGCATGTTTAGTTCACGAAATGAATTTTGAAAGAATATAAATGTTATTTCATTGGCAATTGAATAGAATATAACTTATATTACATTATTTGATTCACTAAAGGCAGTGCCGGCCCTGGGACAAGGGCAGACTGGGCCTTTGCCCAGGGCCCATGCTTGGAGGGGGCTCACCCTTCCTCCCTCCTTTTATATATAGAGTATATATGTGTATAAATAAATAATATACATACACTTTAGCTGAGGTTAAAGTAGTTTAGTTGGTAGGTCACATAATATAAGTTGTGCATATTATAGGTTATGGGATCAATTCTTATTACTAACATCTTTTAATAAATTTTTATTTACATTTTAGAAAATAAAATATAAATTTGTGAGATTTTAAAATTTATTTATAGCTAAGTAATTTTAATGCTTATATTTAAAAAGTATATATTTTTATGAAAAATCATATAGTCAATGTAATATATAAAAAAATTTATTTTGTGAAACTTGAAATTGATCTAACTAAAAGAACAATATTTATAAAAATCATATAAATATAGAAGATGTGTGATTTATAATATATTTTTTATTCGAACTATTTTATCAAATTAATCATATTTCATGTTTTGTTATTGATATTTTTATCACATTTTAAAGTATTTTAATTTTTTGCCTCCAATCAAAAAGATTTTTAGATCTACATCTATTTGTATGTTTTAATTTGTTTTATAACTTTTTTTAATAATTAATTTATTACTCTGTACTTATTATCAATTATTCATTATTGATAAACTATAATTACTTATTTATGAAGGCATTTGATGAAGTTATTTATTATTTTGTATTTAGGAAAACACCTATAAATTTATTTTTTTTATATAATTATTTATATATGTAACATTGTTAAAAACTTCTGAATCTTATTTGATATTAATATTTTTTCCTTATGTAATTTAAATTTTTTGTATGAAAATATATGTTAACTTTAGAGTTAGTACATATTTTTCGTGTCATGCCCCGGCCCTATAAAGTGATAGGACCGAGGCTGACTAAAGGAATATACTTCATGAATTGTATTACGGTAGGTGTTTGATTGGTGTAAGGAATAAAAACAAAATAAGTATTCAAATGACATAAATATCCTTCAGTGATGATGATCTGCTGCACTGAGGCATGTGTTGGAAACATAAGGTAAAGGCATTTTGGATTTTTGGCATTCATTGTGTTTTATCTTTATCTAGTTGTCCCACATTGCTTGGTTAAGCTAACTCATTTTTTCCACCCTTTTATACCACAATCCTTATTAGAAAGCTTGAAGTGTTATGGACACCTGCTCGGCTCGGTTCGCGCATCGCAGTCGGGTGGGGTGTACATGGTGAAGGAGGCCATGGCAATCAGGGAATACGTAATTTGCCATCATTTAATTAAAACCTAAATAAATACGCATGACATACACATATGTTTTGGATGGTTTTCTTTATTTCTAATTGTAAATCTTGAAATCTTATTTTTAAATATTTGAACAACTCCATCAAACTCTGCTGTAATGGTTGGTTCTTCATTTTCTTGTTCTTTTATAGTTGACGGGGCCTAATATAGGGCTATTAGGCAGGCCATGTGCATGGAAATTGGCCTAATTGCATGGAAGTGATTGAACCAATGTCATGAGATTGGGCATTGCGGCTTGAAAAGGCGTGAAGGGGGTTACATTATAGGCTATTTAAGAGGGGGTGAATGGTGATTTACATGGGCTATTCAAGAGGCCGGGTGTGAAGGGTGATTCACATGGGTTATTTAAAGATGGGCAAATTATACACCGCAAATTATGCTGT